TCAGCAGGTTGTCCTTTCCGTTGCGCCAGACATCAACCTCCCTCTCTCTGTTGCGCGTTCCCCTTCCCAGCAATCATGGAATTCGGACACTGGTGACATCTTGGATGTTGGTCTTGGTCCACAGATCTATGATGCAGAGACAACCCGCCACATCCCAAAGGCCACCGCTGCCCGCAAGTGCTCCAAGCGAGGGGATAGCATATGGGGAGCGTGGTTCTTCTTTAGCTGCTACTTCAAGCCTATGCTGTCGGAGAAATCCAAAGGAAAGGTCATCCGACACGATGTGTTTATGGTGCAGCATGACATGGAGAACATGTACATGTGGGTCTTCAAAGAACGACCGGAGAACGCGCTCGGAAAGATGCAACTGCGGAGCTATATGAACGGGCACTGCCGTCCCGGCGAACCTCGGTTCCCATTCAGTGTCGACAGGGGGTTCGTTCGATCTCATAAGATGCAGCGGAAGCAGTATCGGGGACTGTCGAATCCGCAGTGCGTCCATGGAATCGAGGTCGTCAGATCACCCGATCCGAAGCTTGTTCGTGAGGTGGATCGCCAGAAGTGGGTGGAGCTCACAGGCAGGGATCTTAATTTCTCGATCCCACCTGAAGCAAGTGATTTCGAGTCATGGAGGAATCAACCCAGCACTGAAATTGAGCTCGATAGGCGGCCTCGTCCTCCTCCTCCAAAGAGCACTTCACATACCCATCCTGAAAACTTGTCTTCTACACAGTCAAATCATTGTAATGGTGATGGAATGGACCGCTCTTCTGTCTGCAGCAAACGCAGGAAGGATTTCTTCCTCCCTGCCATGGATGAGGATCGGGATCAAGTTGAGCCCTCATGGCTGAATGAATTTACTGGCGTGATGAGGCATGCATATGGGCCCGTGACCGCAGCAAAGACGATCTACGAAGACGACGACGGGTACTTGATAATGATCAGCTTGCCATTTGCCGATCAACAGAGGGTGAAAGTTTCTTGGAGGAACAGTGTGATGCATGGGATACTGAAGATAATTTGTGTCAGCACTGCTCGGACGCCATACATAAAGCGGCATGACAGGACCTTCAAGCTGACCGATCCTTCTCCGGAGCATTGCCCTCCGGGGGAGTTTGTAAGGGAAATAACACTACCGATGCGAATCCCGGAAGATGCGAATCTGGAAGCATACTACGACGAGAGTGGTGCTTTGCTTGAGATCATGGTTCCGAAACACCGAATGGGGCCAGAAGAACATGAAGTCCGTGTGTGCATTCTTCGTCCTCATCACCGGTGAAGTCGGCGCTAATGCACTTTTGTCAACCTGAACCAGTGAAATCTGTCAAATCGACGCGCATCATAGTAAGCCTTGCCGCTTGCTTACCGACCTGCACTGATGTGGATGGGACTCGGTAGGAAGGTGACGGATGGCTAAGGTTGATGAGTCTTGGATTCAGTGTCGCGAGTCGGAGTTAGATTTGACTTCTTTTTCCTCTAATTATGTTGCAGTTCCATCGGTCAAAACCTAAGTTATTATTTTGGCCGAAGAGCAAGGAGGAATAAAAAGATCCGTCAGGAATCCATGACTTCTCTCTCTGGAATGTTGATGTTACCTTGTCCTCCTCGCTTCTCTGTTTCCTGCTCCGCCACCGCTTGTCGGTGGGGACGGTGATCTTGTTCCTCTGCCCGGCGACACGTTCGGTATGCCATTGGCGTCTATGTGGAAGCGCACGTCCTTTCTAAGAGTAGTTGGGTACAGGTGTGTCGTGGCGTAGTTGGGTATCACGTCGGTCCAACTTGCTGAACGTCTCTGGTTCGAGTACGGATGGGCGACACAAAATTGAATTTTTTAAAAATTCTTTTCCCCACGTGTGTTATTTTAGTCTTCTCTATTGAGAATTAATCTTTTTTTTTTTCAAAATTTTCTCTCAACTCACTTGTCTGGATATTAATATAAATTATATATATTATTTTCTTTCCTAAATCAAGTCCAACACCTATGCAAGTTTATGTCGTAGATCGAGAGTCGATACTGTTTAGTCCTATTCCGAAGACAGATCATCTAGGTGGTTTCTCGAGAGAGAGATAAAGTGGTGAGAGCAAGTTAGGAGCTGGAGAGGATGGTTGAAAGATTATTGTCGAGTCCTTTGAGTCATTCCGAGGTGAAGCCAAAGTAGGTTTGATCTTCGTCGGGATCCTGTACAACAAGCCGGTGTCGGGAGGGATTCCCGATTTGACCTCTTCGATGATTAAGTTAGTAGATGAATGATGGATCCCGTTCTTTTGGGATTGGAGATCGACCTTTATACTTGTGGAGCCAACAAGAGGGGGCTACAGTTGGTGAGGATTGATTGTACCTCTTTGCGGCACAATCGTGTGGATGACCAACCTGTACATCCCCTGCGGCATCAGTTGGCTTGTTCGAGCTCCTGTAGCACGGGATTGATTCGTGCAGTCTCATGCGACGTAAAGCTAGCAAGGGATAGCTAAGAGAGCATCACCCACCATTTCGACCCTTTTCCACATCAGACAAATGTCGAGTTGTCTTCCTTGTCAATTCTAGGATGACTGTCAATTGGGAAACTACAACTGATGTTAAAATAATCCTTATCAATATAATATGCCAATATTTTAGAAAGATATGGTTGTATTAACTATTTAGGCATATTTCTTTCACATATAAAAGATTATCATCTTATATTGATAAAATTATTAATAAATTAAAAGATGGTAAAATATTTATATTTCTCAAACGGCGAAGTGTGATTCTTATCAATTCGGTATTTAATTCTCTCTCTTCACTCCTTATTAAGGAGATGGACCTACAACTCATTTGTTGATAGTATAACTAAATTCAATAAAGCATTTGTATGGGGGTGATTCTTAAACTCGTAGGAAATTAAGATTGGTATATTAGAATAAAGTCACATCCCCAAACTATTAGGAGGTTTAGGTTTTAGAGGCATCTCATTGATCAAATACTCTCATTGTATTTTACCCATTTTTTTTAAATAACTCAAACTGCCTCTAGTCTCATATTCTTAATAAGAAATATGATTATTTTGAACCTTGGAACTTTGTTATTAAGAAATCCTCTTATACTTGGAAAGGTATTAGTCAAACTATTCTCAATGTCAGGATTGGTCTTAGACTTCACCTGTAACATTAATTCTCAATGCAACCTAGTCTTCGATCTTTATCTTAGACGAAGCTTGGAACAATCTTGTGCTAAATAGCTTATTTCATTCAAGCCTAATTAACATAATTAAATTATATTTAACCTTCACTTGAACCCAATGATGATAAATGAGTTTGAAGCTTCACCCTATGGAGTTGACTACTTCTAAAAGTTTCTATTGACACTTGAGGGAAGATCGAACTCCTAAGAAAGGTATTGGGAGAGTCAGAAGGTTGTGCTTTTATGAAAATGCTTACTAGTTGAATCTCTCATCTCGTCTTGTCTCGTCTTGCCTCGCCTCACCTCGTGATCAACTTAGGCTTAAAAAGCATAATCCTATGAAAAATATTTTTTTTTATTCCTCAATTGACATTGCCCTTTAGTTGCTTTGGAAAAATTGAAATGACTTCAAGTTGAAAAACCATCATTCCCAACCTTGTGGATGAAGGTTCTCTCTCTCTCTCTCTCTCTCTTGTATGATTCCAATATAACTCGAATGTTGAAGACTCTTCTTATCATTTTCTTGAGCCAATAGCATCTCTTTTTCTTACAGCCACAGGTTGCTGATTCAACACTCATCAAGCTTCTAACCCCCCTTACAAGCTTGAATGTTCGGCATGGGATGGTTTTCAAAAAGCCAAAGAGTAAAAGATTTATAATTTCTCGATCAAGTAATTGAATTATTCTTTTTACCAAAAAAAATATTTACTATCCGTCATGTCTTTAAATTTTATTTGTGTGACAGCCCCAGCCTTAATACACAACTTCTGTACCATAATCTTCACTCATCAATCGAGAGCTGTAAAGGGCTGGTAAGTATGCGTCCTATGGTGTCGACATGAATTTGTTGTCTATATGATATATATATTAGACCTTTGAGTATTAGATATTTCGAAGTTTCTCAACCTGCGTTGTCGGGTTTGGGAGGCCCGCACGAGCGAGTTCTGCGAAGTAAGCAGCGTCAACGATCGGCCAGCCTATCACCCATCCAAATATTCGTGCGCACACTAGGTGTAACAGCGCGGCGGGCAGCTCTCACCGCCCGCTTTGTTTTCCTTACTCATTAGTTTAAGGCGAGTTGGTATCGTACCTGCGCGTCTCCTTTTAATGACCTGACGCTCCTTGCATATGGCTCATCTGCCGATGTGGGACTAATCGTTCGGGCTTTAGACCCAAATCGAGAGACGGGGATTTTAGCCGGTACTGGTGGAGTACTAATGCTACCCCGCGCTTCCCCTCATCCGACACGTTGTCGCTCGCACATCTCTCATCTGCCGATGTGGGACATAACCTTCTGAGTCTCGATGCCCCCATCCCGAAACCCTAGCTCTCCGAACCTCCGGCTAAATCGCTTTACCCATGTCTGTGGCAGTAGTAGTAATCTGAAGGAAATTTTCTTCCGGTGGTCCATTGGTATGTATGTTCATGCAAAAAATTGATTGAATGATGCTACTTATTTGAATGATTTTGATTGAATGATGCAAATCATAGGTTTTTTAAGTCGTCCGATACACCAAGTATGTTGCGCAGGTTTGTCTGCGCTTTGCATTGCGTGCTGCAGATTTACATTTGGGTGTCGTTCTGTTCTGGGATACTTGTAACTCCTTTTCCTCCACACGGTATTGCGCACATAGTTAATCAGCGGGCTGAAACTTTGATTGCAGAGTTGAAATCCTTTTTTTTTCTTTTTTTTTGCTCTTATTTGTTGCTGAAATCTGCTGCCTCAAAATGAGCATTGATAATGTAAATGATGAATAAGCACATACATATTGTTGTGCAAATTGCAAATTACATGTTTTTATTGATTACTCTTTATTGCTAATTTTCCATTTGTAGGGTGAAGAAGGTGGGATCAAAAGGATTTTGAGCAGCATTCTATGCCACTTAGTATTTGACATCTTTGAGTTGTTCTACCTCAACTTGAATGCAAACTGAAACATCAGGTTCTTTTTTGTCCCATGAATACTGTGAATGGTGTTATGTTAACTTGTCTTCAAATGCATCGAGCAATTCTATCAATGGTTCAGGTAAAAAATGGTGGCAACAGGATACGCTTACTTATCATTGATTCTACATCATATTTCATAACACCCATCCTTGGAGGCAAAAATTCACAAGGTATGCACCTCCTATACTTGGCATGGTTGCCTCCAAAATGGATCAGATCCATCTTTATGGAGCAGATTTATATCCTCTCTATGGAAATTCGCACTTGCGTCAATGTCAATCTGTAATTTTCTTAATTAAAACCTGTGTGCTGCCTCAAACACAATCTAGTTAGAAGAAGATGGTGGATGGCATTGTGGTCTAATTAGGAAGCAAGCTTAGTTTGCCTTTTTTTTTTGTCCACATGCCTCATGATTAATTTGACATAAATTCTATTGTTTCCAACTCCTTGCTTGAGTAGCTTTATATGAAATCCACAAAAAAATAGGTACATGAAGGAATAATTTGATTTTTACCATAGTGTCACGGACTTAGCTGGAATTGCCTAAGTCGTGAGGCACCCTTGCGGCAAAGACGCGAACTTAGCTTGCGTTGCCTAAGTCGCGAGTTACCCTTGCGGCAAAGACGCGAACTTAGCTTGCATTGCCTAAGTCGCGCTTTGCCCTTGCAATTTGCGTCCGCAAAGATCAGCCCACTTGCAACCTCTCGCAAGTCTCGAAGGACCTATAAAAGAGAAAGTTGATTAGTTCAAAGAACGAGCGATAGACAAGTCCCGACGTCTTGCGAAAATGGGAAGCTTTATAAACAATTCAGCGAGCACCTTGCGTGCACAAGAGAAAAGAGGAAGCGGAGGAAAACAAGGACTTTAGAGGGTTGGACGAACAGCTGCTAGTCCATAAACAGCTGCTCACCAGGTGTCGGGCGCGACAACAAATTCCCGTCAAGGTAACGTGCGAACTTGCGAAAGATTGTTCAACACTCGACACTATACCGAAGCCCCATCCCCCATGGTGCCACCCGGGTGGTTCCAGGGTGCTGAGATGGCTGACGTTTCGCGTGCGGCAGCGGGCTATAGAAAACAGCCCGTGGCACGCAAAAACGGAGCTGTTTTCGGGCTGTTTTGCTCGGTTCGATGAGCGGTCGAACTGTAGCGTTGCAACTTGTTCGAACTTCATTTTTACAAGCAAAAGGACTTAAAACCAAGGCAAAACATGCTGCCAAGCAGCTGTACATGTAGACGAGAGCGACGAATGGTTCGTTGAACGGAGTTGTTGCGGGTGCGCGACGACCGTTCGTGACAATAGGGTGGATTAGTTTAGGCTTGTCGAAAATGAAGTAGTAGATTTATGGCACGAAGAACCTTATAAATAACTTGCCCATAGAACATGCTGGAAAAGGGCTGCAATGATTTGTAAAAAATACCAAACATGAAATGACAATTCAAAATTGATGATTTTTTTTTAATTTTCATTGAATGATCCCAACTTAATTTGGTTCTCAATGCTTTAACTCGGCACAATGGCTCAGGCTTTGTTGGCTTTGGTTTGCATCAGTTCATGTCAATTTCAGTCAGTTGAAGTGAATACCTAGTTCTGCTTAGATTTGTACACGCATCACATTCCAATTTCTCATCTAACAATATGTGTCACCTGATGCTGCTCCAGAAACAAACTGGAAGTATATCTTTGATGTTGCCGAGAGTCCCAGTACGAATATCCTATATTACCAGTTATGATAACTGTGTATGCATGTAAATGATTTATGCTAGATACATAAGTTGCATTGTCATGAGTTCCTTTGACCTAATTTTGATCAAAATGCAGGACTACTGTTGATGATTTCAACTGGAATTCTGCTGAAGAAAATAGCAAATGAATACAACCTGACAGTAACATTGCATATTTTGTGCTTGGCTGCATGATTCCTGAATCATTTCTCTGTGATGAAATGCATGCCTTTTTTTCCCCTAGTTTATTTTGTTGCTACTGTTCTTAGAAAACTACCTAGTTTTAATCTTGAATGAATATAAACTACTATTTCTTGTGTAGGACATGTTCGTGATCTGAGCTCCAGTTGTGTGTGGCACGACGAGTAGTCTGGATCAAGCCTTATGTAACTTGCTCCTATCTGGTAATATCTCAAGCTTGAAATGCAAATAGAACACTAGATGCATGATCCATGATTCGTTATCTGTTCTTATTAGGCAAAGCTTATTATCATCATATTTTCACTACTTTCCATACAATTTTTCTTAAAAATTTTGACCCATGTCATGTTATAAAAAGCATTGATCAGATAACCTTGTAGATGAAATATGTCTATGTTTTTATATAGAGATGTTAAAAGTATATTTTGATTGTCCGATGTGCAAGCATTGATGTTTTCTTACAAAATTATATCGAGTGCATGCTCAACAAAAACCCTATAATACGGAGGTCAGGAAATGAGTTTGGAGGATTCATAAGATTGAGTAGAATGCATCCCGATCTCTTGTAGTGATGTAACATTTGACGATGTAAGATCCGTGGAAGGTGGATTGGAATCTTGGATGTTACGAGTAGTATAGTTATGAGCTTTATTAATCAAGTGGATGCTTTGATAGACATAGCATGGCTGATAAGTTTACCTTCAAGAACAGCCCAAATTGAATGATCAGATATAGGGTTTCCTTGATCCACAGGCGACACTGCTCTAAGAAGCGTGGTGACGGCTTTCCTGCTACGCCAATACCTTTTCCTTTACTGGTACTGTCAGTGGGCCGGTCCCAAACTGGCTTCAATAGCAAGGCAGGTACTGAGCAGCAGTAGTAAGGGTGTCTTGGAGCAGTGTGACTGACTTGTAGGATAAGCCAATCAAGTCGCTGGCGTACAAGAAAAAGAATCCCTAAATCACCGACCGTCCATTTGATATCTAACGGCCCTCTGATGCAAATTCCTGTTGAGGCATTGCAGTTTGATGCTTCTGCATTTGAAGTGTTCGAATAACCGATGTTGAAATGGCTATTAGCAAATTGCATTGATCTTTCCATGTCAAGCCGGCAATAATAATTAATCTTGTGGTGAGCTTTTGGATCAATGTCAATCTACTCCTGCAAAAGGCATGACGACTTCCACACACACAAACAAGAAGGGTATGATTTCGGCGATGACTCGGTCGGTGTCGAGTCACTTGAGCGGTCTGCTTTATGTCAGAAAGCATCCAGCGGAGGGATCGCCCCACCCATTCTGTCTTCTGTCAGGCCACTTGTACTCGGTGAGGAAGGAGTAGCCGGCAACAATTGGCATCCTTTTGGGTCTCGTACGGGATCAAATAATTTCATCGTATTTTCTTTTATTAGTATGATTTGAACACATGACGTGCATCAAAATTCATAAATCTTATCGTTTTATGATTTATTTGTTTCCTTCCAATCGAATCGAGATTTTGATTCGGTTCAATTCAATTGAATCGAAATTTTATGATGAGATCTACAAGGGATGGGACCGCAGGCAGGAAGTCGCACATGAACGCGCGATCGTTGGACGTTGACAGCCGCAAAGGATTTCAATTATTGGTGCCCTCGTAAGAGTCGTCTTCGTCCTCCGCTGCCTCCATCGCGCGGAGTCGGCGTGTTGGCTTTGCCCCTCTTGCAGGAGCCTAAGGTTGAGCGAGGAGGCACAGCGATCTCGTTTTCATTACACTGCCATCCACAGTTCAGATCACTGTGTGTTGTGCAAAAACAAAAATAACAGGGTCTTCGACAATGAAATGGTTGATTCTTCTGGTCATTGAGTCGGTAGTTTATTGAACATGAGATGATATATAAAACAATTTACATCTTTAAACTCATACTCACGTGTGGGTGACAATTAATTCAACTTGACATGCTGAATATTAAATAAGCGGTAGTCAAGAAATATTATAATAACGGTAATAGTTCAAATCCTTTTTATAGTATCAAAACGATAAGTCAATATTTTTGTCATTGCTCTTCTCTTAGGGGAGCTAAGGACTTATGACCCTTCTTCTAATTCTTCTTATCAATCTGATAAGTTCTCTTTATAGCGTGTGAGAATTGTCTGCTTTAGACATGATTTTATCTTTTTGAGATAAAGATAATCCAACAGGTTTATAATTAATTGATTCTTTTACTTCTAATGTGAAATTAAATATCTTTATCACTACCTAATTTACAATCTAATTATCAAAACATGTCACAAAGAAAAAATAATTAAAAAAATACGATTTGAATCCGCAAGCTTACCCATGAATATTAAGTGCATGCATGTGGATAAGACAACGTAGTCCGTGTGGCTTCATACTGCAGCCTCCATCGGGTTTCATGGAACTTTGACTTAATGGTCCTTTCCCCATTGACCCCCATAAATTATGTCGGAAAACTTCTAATTTTAATGGTTGGCTTCACACTTCAGCCTCCATCGTGTTTCATGGAACTTTGACTTAATGCTCCTTCTCCCATTGATTCCTATAAATTATTTCGGAAGCTTATAATTAAAACCGACCCTTTCTTTTATAGATCTGTAATAAAGTCATATGATCGAAAAATATAAAATAATTTACTACAACTAATAAAAAACCATAGTCACATTGAGAAAGCCAAAGGATATGAACGCATACTCTTAAATTATAGATTATTTGTTGCCATGCGACAATCAACAGTCTTCTGTTTCTTTTTCTTCTCTTCTCTGTTGATATTTTCCTTCATCGAGATTAGTATAGAATAAAAAAAATCATTTTCATGGTAACTAATTTTTCTCTATCTTTAATATGTTTGAGAAAAGGAAAAACATTTTTTTTGAATTTCTAAAATATCCTAAATCTTTTCTTCTTTCCTCTTCTCCTCTCACTGATAATGCAAGACTGTAATCGATGTGTGAAGACGAGGATTTCATAAACGTTGGGGTCCAGCAATCTTTAGTTAGATTAAATTTGAAATAATTATGAAGAGGATCCAAAACTTTATTCTGAGAGATTCCAAGTCAACAAGAACAGTATTAATCATGTTTCAAGCATTTATTACGGAAATAAAAGCTTGACAAAAACAACACTGGGATGGGGGATGAGTTGCTTTCATAGTATTTGGATCCTCTTCATAAAAGCTTGACAAAAAGTCATATAGAGTTGCTTTCATATTCTTTTAATTTTTCATTTATTTTTTATATTTATATTTATATATAAGTCTAAACTTAACATTTTTTTACTTTTTATTATTTATTTAACTTCTATTCTAATAGTTAGATTCATAAATCTTTAGTTAGATTAAATTTGAAATAATTTATGAAGAGGATTCAAAACTTTATTCTGAGAGACTTCCAAGTTCCTGTCAATATTAACAAATAATAATACTAAACTAAGACCTCTCATATTAATCAAAATATGGTGATTTATATTTAAATCTTTGGTAAGAAAATTTATCTTCAAGTCAATAAGAACAGTATCAATCATGTTTCAAGCATTTATTACGGAAATAAAAGCTTGACAAAAACAATACTAGGATGGAGGATGAGTTGCTTTCATATTATTTGGATCCTCTTCG